TCCAAAGAAGACAAACAGATGGCCTACAGACACAAGAAAAGATGTTTAACATCACTCATTATCTGCGAAATGGAGATCAAAACTACAGTGAATATCAATCACCTCACATCTGTCAGAATGGCTACAATCAACAATACAGAAATCACAGGTGCTGGTGAGACTCTGCATAAAGGAGAACCATCTACACTGCTGATGGGAATACAAACTAGTGTGGCCACTCTGGAAAACAGTATGGAGATTCTCAAAAAGTTAAACACAGAACTACCCCTTGATCCAGGAATTGCACTCCTAGGTGTTTACGCAAAGGAGAAAAAATATTGATTTGAAGTGATACATGCACCCCAATGTTTACAGCAGCATTATCAACAATAGCCAAACTATGGAAACAGCTCAAATGCCCATCGATTGAAGAATGGAGAAGGAAGATGTGGTACACACACACACACACACACACACACACACACACACACACACAGAGACAGAGAGAGAGAGACAGAGAGACAGAGAGAGGAATATTACTCAGCCATAAAAAGGAATGAAATCCTGCCATTTGCATTGATGTGGACAGAGCTAGAGAATATTATGCTATATGAAAGAAATCAGTCAGAATGACAAATACCATATGATTTCACTCATATGTGGAATTTAAGAAATAAAACAAATGAACATAGTGGGGAAAAAAGGGAGAGAGAAACCAAGAAACAGACTCTTAATTATTGAGGACAAAGTGGTGGTTATTAGCGGCGAGGTGGTTGCAGGGAGGGTGGAAGGTTGGGAGTTTAAGTTAAATAGGTGATGGTATTAAGGAAGGTGATGAGCACCAGACAGTGACTAATCACTAAATTCTACACCTGAAGCTAATATTGCATTGTATGTTAACTAGCTGGAATTTAACTAAAACCTTGAAAACAAAAAGAATCTGGGTTCCTTACACTCCACACTGGATTTTAACCTAATAAAAAGTAGGGCTAGCTTGGACAGAACCACCCTAAGAACCCTTGATTATTCATCCTAGGACTGGGATGCTCATGGGACAATGGGTCTTCCAGGTAGGGAATGGGGATGCCCCACTACATCAGTGCTCAAGTTGGTTCAATGATCTACAAAAGGTGCAGTTCAGGGGAAAGTGTTTTCTCTCCTACTATACTTTCATGCTATGTGCCAAACAACCTAGGGATTTTGTTCTCAAGGAGGTACTTAATCTCAGGTCAAGGTGAGTCTGGAAAAAGCAGGCAACTGTCCTACAACATGGAGGTACAATATCCCAGAAATTCACCCATGTACCTACCAACTACATCAGCATTAATGAAAGCTCAATAGTTCAATGTGATTCATCTCTATGTCCTACCTAGACATGTCAGAGCTTGAATAAATTCTAGAAGGTGCTTCAGAAATAAAGGAGAAAATAAAAGCCCATGATTATATACCAAATGGTTGGGAGAGCCATGACTAGGATTCAGATCTATCATTTCTTAATATAGTTAGTACCATTTCCATAATACTATTCTACCCCCAACCAAAATCAATGTAGAAAATGGAGACAGCAATTTTATTTTTAAATATCTACTACTAGAAACTATCTACTAGATAAGAGCCTATATAATCCCCATCATTTAATCCCTTGAGTATCATAAAATCTCACCAGAAATGTAAACCTAAACACAAATTCTCATAAAGAAGAATTGAAAGAGACAATATTCATATCATTCATCCAACAGTCTGACCCCTTTTTCTTTTATTTGAAACACCACAACAGCTGGACCCTAAGGTTCCATGGTACTCCCATGTAGAGATGTGAAAAACATTAAACTATTATTAAAACAAAAAAGGTTCATAATGATCAAATGCTCATTCTAAATACAATCTGAGGCAACATGTTATGCGATTTTAGTTTCTCAAAGAATAAACATCAGTATAGTAGATAGAATATTGGATCACTAAATTATGGTTTGGACCTTGTCATTGATGGCCCTGGTCTGTTATCACAGTCCTCAGTCTAGACCTGTTCTATCTGATACAGTAGCAACTAACCACATGTGGCTAATGAACACCTGAAATGTGACTAATGTAAATGAAGATGTACTGTCATTATAGAATATACTCCATATTTAATTATAAAAATATATTATTAACAATTTTTATAGTGATAATATATTATTATATGATAATTCTTTGGATACATTGGATCAAGAAAAATATATTAAAATTAATTTCACCTGTATTTTTGTATTTTTAACTTTTTTAATTGTAGCTACTAGAAAAATTTATTTTATTAAATAGTTTGTCAAGTTGGTTTCCATATAACACCTGCTACTAGAAAAATTTAAATATATTTGTGGCTTGCATTTATGGTTCATGTGGCTCACATCTGTGGCTCACGTAATATTTATTTTCTTATTTATTTAAATTTTAGTTAATGTACAGTATAATATTGGTTTCAGGAGTAGAATTTAGTGATTCATCAGTTACATACAAAACTGTGCTGGTATAGAGCAGTGGTTCTCAACATCAAAGATTCTGATTTAACTAGCCTGGAGCCTGAGTTTTGATGTTTTTTTTAACAATATTTTAATTTTTTTCATCCACATGACTTATTTCATCATGCAGCCAGGATGGAAAGCCCTAGGCTAGACTCTACCATGCTTGTCTGAGCCAGCCAGTGATCTTCTCAAAGGTAAACTTCAGCTGCTGGGACTGTATGCCTCCCTTGGTGTTGGATGTAAAAGCATAAATGCCAGTTCACTGATATGCTAAAGCCTGGCTCTCCCATTTTCCTCCCTGAGTCACTCTGCCTTATTCAATCATTTTGCCCCATTCCTTGATTTACTGTTTATTATAAAAATGACATTTCACAGAAAGTCAAATACATTTGAATTGGGATGACACGGGTACAGTTTCATCCTTCCTGTCAGCACAAGGGCCCGTCAGCACAAGACACACAAGCTGTTTCTTTACAGGACCACACACTAATCCTAAAGGCCCATGATTACTGATGTTTTCTTTCTGACTACCCCTGGGACCAATTCATCAAGCAGCAAGGCTAAGCTGAAACAGAGATGACACTTGAAGACTGATGGAAGATGCCACATACATGGAGGAAAAAGGTTTGGATATTTAATTAGGAGATTTTCAGGACAGATGAGGATGAAAGATCATTTTGTCCACCTTTCTGTTTCTGAGTACTGTCCTCACCAAAATATTTCCAACCACATAACAGTGTTTCCTGAGTTTATAGCCCTCAAGAAAGGAGTCCTCTTTTAACCACTAACATAGACCTTTTGGAGCTAATAAGGTGACAGGGGTAATAATGAGGAGGATAATACTGATGATAAATCAAGTTACCATTTGCCAATTACCCACCATGTGCCAAGCACTGTCCTAAACACTTTAGACCTTTATATGATCTCATTTAAATCCTCATAAAATTCTGTTATCCTTATTTTTCAGATGAGGAAATCAAGGTTCTGGGAACTGAAGTATTGCCAAAAGTCATGGAGTTGGGAGGTAGTAAAGCTGAACTTAGGGGCGCCTGGGTGGCTTAGTCGGTTAAGCGTCCGACTTTCGCTTGGGTCATGATCTCGCAGTTCGTGGGTTCGAGCCCCGCGTCGGGCTCTGTGCTGACTGCCAGCTCAGAGCCTGGAGCCTGTTTCATTCTGTGACTCCCTCTCTCTCTAAACCTCCCCTGCTCACGCTGTCTCTCTCTCTCTTCTAGAAATAAATAAAAATATTAAAAAAAAAAAGCTGAAATTGCATTGTGGGTTGTCTGGCTCCAAATGTCCTGTTCCTTTCCTCATGTCACAATGTCATCATAATCCTGAGGCCCTTCATCTTCCAAGAGCCCAAGCTACTCTGATCTTTTGTTTGGCATCAGGTATCTTACAGAAGAAACTAACAACAGGTGATAGACTGTGGCAAGGAAGATCATAAGACATCCTAAATGTAGCTTTTGTACTTACACTACCACAAAGTTATTTCACTGTGATATCTACTGGCATGAAAGAATTGTCAACACTATTTTGTGATTGGGACTGGGGGAATCAGAGCTCACAGTTACCAAAAAAACAAAACAAAACAAAACAAAAACAAAACAAAACAAAAAAAGACCAAAAACAAAACAAAACAGATTCTAGCTCATAACTCTAAGGAGGGCCAAAAGCTGAGACATCAGGCCAGTGTTCTTCCTCCATAGCATCCTGCTAATTGATAACCAAGAGGAAGCAGAAACTGCTCACATGACCTTTCTGGAGAGCCCATTCTATTAAGGGCCAGGTTCTTCATGGCACAATGTCAAAAGGGCAAAAACTTTATAAGCTCTGTCAAGGTGCCTGCTTCCCACCCTCAACACATCTAAAACCCCAGCCACCTAACTCAAAGTAAGATCTGCAATCAGTAAACTCTAGCCCCTGAGAGGGTAGGAAGCCCACACCCGTACATTAAGAGTTGAAGACAACACAAAGGGTGTTCATACTTTCCTAGATGAGGCAGAGAGGAGTGAGGAGGGGAGAAGGAAGGAAAGGTGGGATCTATAAAAAGAAAGAACAGAAAAGAGGAGACAAGGAAAATGATGAAAGCAGAAGAGAGATAAGGTAAAAGTTCACAGAAATATAGAGTTAAAAGAGTCTTCAAAAACCATCAAGGGCAAAAGGGAAGTGATTTGTACAAAGGCACAGTAGTTAGGAGAAAGGTGGCAGAATATTGGAATTGTTAAAATAAATAAGGGATAAAAAGAAAAGACTCAAAATTAGAAGGGAAAAGGTTAAAGGGGGCTCACATCCTTGGTAAAAGACAGATAGATGAGAGAGAGAGAGAGACAGAGAGAGAGAGACAGAGAGAACGAAAGAACGAAAGAAAGAAAGAAAGAAAGAAAAGAAAGAAAGAGAAAAATGTGAGAGGAGCCACCAGGAGAGAAATGAACAGGAGAAAAGAGGCTGGTGAAGGGGAAGCCAGGGGCAGGTAGCCAAAGAGACAGGAGAAGAGAGTGAAGGCTGACTGACACTCACCCTCACAAAGCTGGCAGGAAACCATCCCTCCGCATCGTCGATCTGGCCCCACCACCAATCCTTGTTGGAAGCATCCAAGACTTTGATGACGTCGCCAGCTTTAAATGCCAACTCCCGGTTGGCCATGGTGACGTGATCCCATACTGCCTCAGCACTAACGATGGAATCTCCAGTGATCAGCTTAGGAAACAAAATGAGAATGTGTTCAGTCCACACAACTGGCTACCTTACTTACTCTTTACCCCACCCACAGAACTCTACTAGTTATGGAAAAACTGACATACTAGTGGTGAAGGGTTAGGGAGAGGGATATGGCACTGGGAGCACAAGCTCCACTGGACCACACAACAAACAATACTTGTCAACTCTCCATTAGCCAGTAGATGGAATGACCCAGAATGTGAATATGAACTACATAAGCCTTATGCTTTTATCCCTACTCATAATCTCCTTCCCCAGAAAAGAAAAAAAGTTCCAGTGCATCTTTGCTTGGTACTTCAAGGCAGCACTGGGTCTGGAATGGCTGAAGAGGTTAAAATCAAAGGCTAAAATGAAGCTCAAACATATTTGCTCTAAATTCTCTGTGTTCTTCCCTGTTTACTCCTCCTTCTTGGAACTGACCAATTGAGAGTTGGTGGTACATTATTTAACACCACTGTACCCCACCCACAAGGGGTTACAAATCATGGCATTCTTCACACACAATGGACTCCAGTCCTGCAGCCTCCTGTTCTCACCCACACATGATGCCATCCAGAGAGGTCATGGATATGAAAGAATATGGCTTTCTGTGATGACTTGCTTCCACTAAACTCAACTTTGGCACAGATTCACTCAGTGATTTGTACCACCACACTGTGAGATACATAGGAGGTCTAGGTTGAATCTTGCATTTGACAGATGGCAAAACTGAGTCACAAGGAGACTAAGGAGTGAACTTACAATCACACAGCAAGACAGGGGCTATGCAAAGACCTTAACCCTGGTCATTAAACTTTGTGACCAGTAGGACTGGGATCCACACAGCAACAGGAAGACATCTATGCCAGTTCCATATCTCTTTCTCTCTCTGTCACTCTATCTTTCTCTGTCTCTCTCTCTCCCTCTCACGCGAGCACGCAGGCACGTGCACACACACACAAACACACACACACACACACACACATTCATCTAAGCACAGTGATGAAGTTGGGGTTGAGGGAAGAGTCTGCTTCTCTATGGCTGCCATCCTAACCACCATGTTGTTTGTTCTCCTTTTTCCCCAACTGGTTCCAGCCTATATGGGCCATCAATCTTCCTGGCATTTGGGGAAACATATTCCAGAATAGAGAACATATGTCCTGTCAAGGCAAAGGATTCAAGAATTCTCTCCCTAGCACTAAATTTTTGAACATGTTCTCCATCACTCTGTTTTGAAGGACTGATTCTCCAAGGCAACTGTGGCTTCACAAGCCCAAAGGCAAAATGGTTCAAAGGCAACAGAGACAGAATATAGAATATGTATCCTCTCACACAGGTCTGCCTTTCAATATACCCAACTAGAGAATAACCCTACAGTCATGAAATTAGCATATAACACATGAATACATATTAAAAAAAAAAAAAACAACCTGATCTTTTGGAGCACCAGAGTGGCTCAGTCGGTTAAGCGTCTGACTTCGGCTCAGGTCATGATCTCACAGTTTGTGAGTTCAAGCCCTGCATCTGGCTCTGTGCTGACAGCTCAGAGCCCGGAGACTGCTTCTGATTCAGTGTCTTCCTCTCTCCCTGCCCCTCTCCTGCTTGTGCTCTATACCTCTGTCTCTCAAAAATAAATAAACATTGAAAAAAACCTGATCTTTTGTCTTAGTTAAGGCATTCTGTTGGTCAGGTACAGCATAGGGGAACTCCTCATCATGGATGCAAAAGAGATTTCCAATAGGGCCTTTTATAACACAACCTTTCAAGTACATCATGCTTCACTGTTTACAAAATATTTTCACATCTACTGTATCACTTGATCCTCAATGAATCAGCTGGTCTCACTATTACCCATATTTTAAAGATAAGGAAACTGAGGCTCATATAGGTGACCTGTGCTTTGGTCAGTCATACAAGTAATAAATTATAGAGCCTGGCCTTCTGACTTCATACGCTCTAATGCCCATCATACCATACTGACAATGTCTACTCACTAGCTATCCTGAAGTCATAAAATTCCATCCATACCACAAAGCATATAACTCCTATTCTTAAAGAATCCCAAAGAAGGAGATATGGATAACTACCTTTAGTCACCAGTACCCCTGCCTATGAGATTTATTTTTATATTGAACCTGCTTTCTTCCAATTGCACTAACAGTCAATTTCTTCTTGTTCTGACCTCAGCGGAGAAAAATTGCTGGTCACTTGCCTCAATAAAATAAATCTTCATAAAAAAATTTCTCTCCTGCCAAAGATGGTTTCCAACTGGGTGTCGCTATAGCTCAATAAGCTCATACACTCCCAAATCACAACATCAAGGCCTGTAGCTTAAAGCTATATCCTTGGCGTTTTACCAAAGGTCAAGAGTATCTTGGCAGCAATTATCAATACTTTGCTCAGAACACTATCTGTGATGCTGTCTTAGGTACCCTAGGTCCAGGTCTGGCTGATTCCACTTCCTGTATTCTTTCTATAGTCATCTTTCCAACTTTATGCTTGGCTCATTCAGTGAGCCTCCACCATGTACACAGATCTTATTATTATGATGCAGGCATAGTCCTTACCTGAAGATCAAAGGCCTTTCAGGCACCAACACTGAATGCCCTTTAAGCAGTATGTAAAATGGTTAAGGGCAAGCAAACCTAGCTTCAATTCTGGGCTTTCCTACTTTAGAAAGTATCAGTAACTTTCTAAACTTGGAATACCACCCCCACCCCGAAATCTACTTTGACTTCTTCCTTTTCCTCAAACTATATTTAAGAGCCTTCAAACAGTACTCCATCCTACCTTTCCAGGTGTCCTTCTCCAACTCCCCCAACCCCCTCTTCTCAGACCATTTCAAACTCCACTACCTGTTTGCTTTCAAATTCCCCATAGGTTTTACCTATGGGAGGTGAGGAAGAAGAGCCAGAGAAACAAACCAAAATGGAACTTTCAGCATGTAATTAGGATACCAAGGAGCACAATATCACAAAAGCCAAAGAGAACAGTTTCAAGAGATACAACTTTTGGACTCAGTTTCTTCATATATAAAATGGGGATAATAATACCTGCCTCACAGGCAGGGTAGTAGAGGGCAAATTGAGCAATGTATGTACAGTGCCTACTACAGTACTTGGTACATGTTGGCCTAGTACATGACTTCAGAGTAAGGGAGGAACATATGTGGCTATTAGGCTTTAGATTGATTTTGTAGAATACTGAAGATAGGCCTTAAAGAATGGGTAGGATTGTAACATATTGAAGAGGGGCAGGAAAGGCATTTAAGGCAGAGGAATGAGACTACATAAAGTCTCAGATATAAAACTATGAGGAATTTGATGGCAAAGGTAGTGGAGTTTGGAAAGGGCTGGGAAGAGGAAGTTGGGGGAGTTGAGGAAAGACAACTGGAAAGGTAGGATGGAGTCCTGTTTGAAGGCTCTTAAATCTAGTTTGAGAAAAAAGAATAAGTCAAAGTTGATTTGAGGGTGGGAGTGGTATTTCAAGTCAAAGTGTGATGAAGTAAGTTACATGAGGGAATGTTGGTTTGGGAGGGGAAAAAAGAGATTACAAATTTTCTCTTCAATGTGTTGAATACGTGGGGTCCATCAGGATATGTAGATTTCAAGTTCAAGAGATGTCAGGAGAGATAGTTATATAGGGTTTGGAGTCAATGGCTCAGAAATTGTGGAAGCCAAGGAAGTTTGCCCAGGAAGGAAGTGACAAGAAAGAAGACCAGAAACCTTGGGAAATAGCAAGAATGGGAGGTGAGGAAGAGAAGAGGAGCCAGAGAAACAAATGAAAGTGAAGCTTTCAGTACCTAATGAGGATACAAGGAGTGTAATATTGGAAAAGCCAAAGCCAAGAGTTTTAACTATCAGGAGCTATCAAATTATCAAATGGTAAAGAGCTATAAAACGATGAAAGCCAAGAAATGGTCATTTGGGAGTAGCTATATCAGCGGTTAAATTCTTTATATCTTAAACTGGTTTATACTCTTTGCCTCACCAATAACCTTAATTTCCCAATTATCCCCACCCCTTCATCTTGCAAGTCCAACATAAAATCAGGAGATGGTACTTACTGGGTTACTCCAACAAGGTTCTCAAATAGCTCTTGGCCTTAGGACAGTCCTGATGTGACTTCTAACAAAATAATTCCTAATCCCCAAGATATTTCAGGTATAGCACCAAATATAGGTTGGCTCTTCCTCAGACTTGTCAGTGAGTGGGACACACAGTGCTCTGTACCTCAACATCAAAGATACTTTTGGACATGAATGAGAAGACAGGGAGGGAAAAGAGTCATAATATCATTCCTATAAAAGGAATGAGATCCTATTTATTTTTGTCTAGATTTCCCAGGATAATCCTAATTATCAAATATTCTTTTCCATTGATACTATAAGTAGATACATCTGTTATCATACCCATGTTCGCTGACTTTTAACCTAGAAATATTACCACCATACCTTACAGGAATTGACCTCTAAGAGTTTGACTTCTAAGCCTGGTCTCTGGTCAACAATGACACATGTGTCTACAGCTAACTTGGAGTGGGTGGCCAGTGGGCCCTTTCAAGGGGAAGGAAAGAAGGCAGGGAAAAAGTGAGGAAGAAAGTAATCAGGAATAAGAAAAATTTGAATTATTGAAAACACATGGCAGGCATTTGGCAAGGGACTTTGTGATTTTAATCGTTATAACGCTCCAAGGTAAGCATTAACATCCCCATTTTTACTGAAGATAATCTGTGACACTAAGTAGCCCACAGTCACCCAGTTAGTAGTTGGTAAAGCAAATTTGAATTATTATTTGGCCTTACTCTACAACTTTGCTTTTGCCAATACCCCCAAAAGAAGGCAGAGAGTAGGCTCCCAGCTGGTTTCTTCTTCCAGGAATACCAACTCACACTGTGAGTGACCTAGAGTAGTACTTCTCAACCCCCTGGAAGGCTTGTTAAAACACAGACTACTAGGCCACCAAGTCTGACTCTCTGATTCGGTTGGTCTTAAGTATGAC